AGAATAGCTCTCACTTGAGAACTCCTTCCTTAAAGCACTGGTTTGTATGCTTAGCTGCATTTCACCTTACTATTTGTGGAACAGAGAACCTGACTTCTATTTAAGTGTGTTTCATACCTCCTACTGAAGTGTGTTCCAGGTGACCAATTTATGATGAACTTTTATAACACGGCTCATTTATAAATGGGGAATATGTAGTTTGTCTGTGTTCCCACTCCAGATACAGTATACAGTAATGAGAGATTGAAGATGATATGCAGGAAAAACACAGTTGTAACTTGTCAAACGGACATTATAGATGAAGTTGTGTATCTCCTTTTTGCAGTGGTTTTGTCTTTTGTTGTTTTCAAAATACCACTTCATTTATGTTTGGTGTCAATGATTATTGCATTTTAGTATCTTTTCATTAAGAAGGAACAATAAACTAGTAAATATTAGAATAAAAGAGCTCATATTGAATATTAGTTATTTAATTTTATAAAACCTATGTGATAACATGGCTAAGGTAAGCAAAAGTCTTTTTTTAATATTTGAAGAGATTTATTCTGAGTCAAATATGAGTGACCATGGCCTATAACACAGCCCTTAGGAGGTCCTGAGAACAATGTGCCCAGGGTGGTCGGGGTGCAGCTTGGTTTTATTTATTTTAGGGAGATGTGAGACTTCAGTCAAATACATTTAAGAAATACATTGGTTTGGTCAAGACGGGACAACTTGAAGTGGGGGCTTCTAGCTTACACGTAGATTTTTTTAAATTTTCTGGTGCAGAAATCTGAGTCCCAATAAAATGGTTCTGAATCTCAGAATTTTAGGCGAAGATAACATTGGACAGTTCTGGTTTGCAAAAATTCTTGCAGATCTTGTAAAGAACCTTGCCTGTGAGTCAGAAAGAAAATGGCCCTGGTTTGGACTCTTTCTCTAATTAGTTCTGTGACTTGGGGAAATCACTTCACCTCTCTTGGTTTATAGATTATCTGTCAAATCTAGAAGGATGGATTAGATAGCCTTCCAGAACTGTGCCAGCTATAATGTAGTGTCACATTTTAAAAAAAA